AATTGTCATACACACGGACCATGAGACGTTAAATACCTACGGGGTCAAACAACACTCAAACGGCGACCTACTAAAGTAGGCGACGAGTATTCCTCTTTGAGTAAGCACCGCTCCAATGCCGAGACCTGAAGCATCACATTCAACTTCAAAAGTGTTATCGAAATCAGGAAGTACTAATACCAAAATGATACCAAAATGATTTCTTATCATTGATACAAGCGCCTATGCATACCACAAGGATCAATGAGGGAACTACTAATCCGCGAGTCCCATGAAGGAGGATTAATGGGACACTTCGGAGTGGATAAGACATTAAGTGTTCTTGTTGAACATTTTTTCTGGCCTCACCTCAAACGCGACGTCGAGAGATTCTGCGCAAGATGTGTCACTTGCATCAAAACAAAATCCAGGTCCCATCCTTACGGTCTTTATATGCCTTTACCTATACCTAACATGCCTTGGGTAGATATTTCTATGGATTTCGTGTTAGGTTTACCAACGATCAGGCACAAGGACTCAATTGTTGTAGTGGTGGATCGATTTTCAAAAATGGCACATTTCATACCATGTGCAAAGACAAATGATGCAACACAAACCGCCGACTTGTTCTTCAAGGAAGTAGTGCGCTTACATGGAATACCACGAACCATCGTCTCAGATCGAGATACGAAGTTCCTTGGACACTTTTGGCGAACACTTTGGCGAAAGCTAGGGACAAAGCTACTATTCTCCACAACATGCCACCCACAAACAGATGGACAGACCGAAGTGGTGAATCGCACACTCTCAGCTCTCTTAAGAGCCATGATCGGTAAAAATTTAAAAAATTGGCTAGATTGTATTCCTTACATTGAATTTGCTTACAATCGTGCTTGCCATTCGGCCACTAAGCTTTCCCCTTTTGAGATTGTCTACGGATTCAAGCCCACAACACCACTAGATCTTTCACCATTACCGCCTACGGAACAAACAAGCCAAGATGGTGTGGCTAAAGCCGAGGCCATCAAGAAACTACATGAAACAGTGAAAGAAAATCTCGAGAAAAAGTCTGCAAAGATAAAACAACAAGTTGACAAAGGAAGGAAGGAAATGATTTTTGAGCCTGGTGATGGGTTTGGTTACACATGAGACCCGAAAGATTTCCAAACCAAAGGAAGTCCAAACTATCGCCGCGTGGAGATGGTCCATTCAAGATATTGGAACGCATCAACAACAATGCCTATCGACTCGAGCTTCCAGGTGAGTTAAAAATTTCAACAAGTTTCAATGTCGCTGATTTGGCGCCTTTTCTTGAAGGTGAACCGGTTCTGAGGACAGAACCCTCTCAAGAGGGAGAGAATGATGAGGACATGAGTTCACACCATACCGAAGTTATCCGGGTTCCGACTATGTACCAACCACCTAGAACAAGGTCCGGTACAAAGACAATGCGGGAAGAATTCAACAAAGCTGTGGAGAGTTTGATAAGCTATAAAGAAATGGAGAACACCATCACACAATTCGATAATCTCACCCTTTGTAGCAATAAGCTTAAACAAGAAGAAAGAGAGGCCAAGGAGGAGCAACAAACAAAGGT